TATGTTCCATTCCATTCCCCCGCCACCAAAATGTTCCAAGAATCTCAAATGTCACACTGAGGCAAGAATATCCTCTTAGATACATTTAAAATCAGATGTGCACACACACAGCGCTTCATCAAAACTGGCATTCATCTCTCGGATCACACAGAGCAGCTCTCTGTTTGCTCTTGCAGTAACAATGCTCAACTCCTATTTTACTCACCATCAAATCACTCTGAGATTATATACAATACAACCTTGTGATTATCCAAAGAAAAATCTTCCTTTATGCACCCCAGCATTGCACAGGCAGGCTGCCAGAATGCTGGGGAAATTCTTATTTTGCCGTAAAGGGACATTTAGACTCACATGAAAGGTTTTCTGTGTGGGGAGTCCATTGTCTGAGCGGACTGCACATAGTAACCGCATTTAGAGGCATTCGAAGATTCCTCAAAGCCTTTTCTTGTCTTCTCACCTGCAGGAGTGATTACTGTGTCTCTGAAAGGGCTGCATTCAGTCCTCTAGTGGTCTGTTTTGAATAGTCTGAGAGACGACACTGTTGTCAAAAGCACCCTTATTGTGTTTGAGTGTCCTCAGTTATGGAGGAACAGCATGTACAAGAGACAAGTGACCCTCCCTGAGGACAAAAGGATGGACTGTCCAATTTTTTGTCCCTCTTGTGTGTGGCTAGAGGACTTGTTAGGCTGAACAACTAAACTGCCATGTTGATGATAATTGATATTGAAAATAGTCTTTTAAACAAATCAGTTGAACCAGTTCACAACAATAGCATTGAATGATTGAGTTGTGAATTTGACCGATTGTAGCCATTAACAACTTAATGATCTGTTCAAGACCAGATAGCAATGTCCATTTGAATTGTTTCACAAATAACATTAATTAGTTAATTTGAATCAATTATCTGCTTGAGACTTGCTCTGAGACCCAGTGGCTATGTCCGATATCTGAATGAATCACTGATTCTTTACCTCGAATTCATTATTGACATTAATAACATTAATTAATTTGTGAATTTGACCGCGGATTCGTTTACAAACAAGGCACAATTTGACGCAGGATTGTCAAAAAGATTGAAACTAAAAGACAATGCTGTTCTGACTATATTGGATCTGACAGTAATGCCGCACCACACAAGTGTGAGTAACGTTAACTGTTTTTATTACGTGGTCACTATTGCTTTGTCTGTTAAACAGATCGGTTGATGAGTTATTTATGCATTTTTTACCTAAATCACTGCAGCATCCATCTGTGAAGGACGTAGACTGTCAAACATGCACAACTGTTAGCCAATCATAGCAGTGGGCGTTTACTTCAGAGTCTACAATCCATCACGCCTATTCATACAGAGCGTTCTGATGAGGGGGGTCAAAAACAGGACAGAAAATAGCCTATTACTTCTAAATTTTGATGTTTTTTTATGTAAAAATCTTGATAACATTGTAAGTGGACTTCAGAGAACAGTCAAATAAAAAACAGAGGCAGTTCATCGCCCCTTTTACAACTCAATGATCTGCTTGAGCCTTGATCTGAGACCCAGTGGCTATGTCTGTGCCCAGTGGCTAATCACCGATTCTTTTCAATAATTAAGTTGAACCAGTTAAAAAACACAATAATTCATTTGTGAATTTGACTGATCCATTTCAGCTGATCTGATTGCATCAGTCATCAAGTAAGTCATCAATTCAATAATCTGTTTGAAACCAGATAGTTCAATCTGTGAATATATCATTCTTTTGAGGCCAGCAACTCACTGATCTGCTCCAAAAGCTGATGGCATTTTCAGATTTGTAAATGAATCATTCTTTCAAGATTAAAGTTGGGCTGAACAGCTAAATTAATATGATGATAGTACTTTAATAGGTTTGAAAAATAATCTTGCAGTGCGATTAATTGATCAATTAAAGATCATCGATTATCAAAATAGTTGTTAGTTGCAGCCTTAGACTAAAGTGCTTTTCCACATGTTCTGTCTCACCTCCCTATTTCCTGTACTTGCTTTATTGCCCCTCTCTATTAATGCAATGACGCATTCTCTGGGATGGGGAATGTGTTGTTCCTGGAGGAAAAAAGAGCAACTGGGGTGAGTGCATGCGGTTCAGTGAACATGAGATGGGTGTGGTTAGATTCCCCCCTACACCTCTTAATTTAGCCCAGGAGCCGAGCAGCAGGTGACCTCTGTGCCAAAATAGTGTCTGAACCAATGCATTTGGAAGGAATTTCAGAAACAAACCTCAATGGCTGTAGGCAGTCTTTTTCCAAATTCAGGCTGTGCGAAAATACTATAATACATGTTCCCTATCACTAAACAGTCACATGTCTGCTGATATCCCCTAAAGAGACTGACACATGACGCAGTCCAGCATTGAAAACCTGCGTGTTCAGCCAGCAAATCAGAGTTGGATATGTTTCATGGTTGGGGAGAATTTTGCCTCCCCCTATCTCCTTTTCTCAATGAGACAGGCAACTGCTCCCCTCCAGCATTCTTTAGATGTGATGTCACCTGGCCCCCAGTTCAATTACTCCTTGAGTCTCACTAGAAAGTTATTTCTCTTTTAAAATGCACTTATTGCGTGCCTAGTTTTTAATCCCTGTGTTTTTGTATTTGTACTCATAAATGAGCACTTCCCGTGCATGAAGGCACATTTGTTTGCATATTAGCATGTGTACTTCAGAGTCTACAATCCATCACGCCTATTCATACAGAGCGTTCTGATGAGGGGGGTCAAAAACAGGACAGAAAATAGCCTATTACTTCTAAATTTTGATGTTTTTTTATGTAAAAATCTTGATAACATTGTAAGTGGACTTCAGAGAACAGTCAAATAAAAAACAGAGGCAGTTCATCGCCCCTTTTACAACTCAATGATCTGCTTGAGCCTTGATCTGAGACCCAGTGGCTATGTCTGTGCCCAGTGGCTAATCACCGATTCTTTTCAATAATTAAGTTGAACCAGTTAAAAAACACAATAATTCATTTGTGAATTTGACTGATCCATTTCAGCTGATCTGATTGCATCAGTCATCAAGTAAGTCATCAATTCAATAATCTGTTTGAAACCAGATAGTTCAATCTGTGAATATATCATTCTTTTGAGGCCAGCAACTCACTGATCTGCTCCAAAAGCTGATGGCATTTTCAGATTTGTAAATGAATCATTCTTTCAAGATTAAAGTTGGGCTGAACAGCTAAATTAATATGATGATAGTACTTTAATAGGTTTGAAAAATAATCTTGCAGTGCGATTAATTGATCAATTAAAGATCATCGATTATCAAAATAGTTGTTAGTTGCAGCCTTAGACTAAAGTGCTTTTCCACATGTTCTGTCTCACCTCCCTATTTCCTGTACTTGCTTTATTGCCCCTCTCTATTAATGCAATGACGCATTCTCTGGGATGGGGAATGTGTTGTTCCTGGAGGAAAAAAGAGCAACTGGGGTGAGTGCATGCGGTTCAGTGAACATGAGATGGGTGTGGTTAGATTCCCCCCTACACCTCTTAATTTAGCCCAGGAGCCGAGCAGCAGGTGACCTCTGTGCCAAAATAGTGTCTGAACCAATGCATTTGGAAGGAATTTCAGAAACAAACCTCAATGGCTGTAGGCAGTCTTTTTCCAAATTCAGGCTGTGCGAAAATACTATAATACATGTTCCCTATCACTAAACAGTCACATGTCTGCTGATATCCCCTAAAGAGACTGACACATGACGCAGTCCAGCATTGAAAACCTGCGTGTTCAGCCAGCAAATCAGAGTTGGATATGTTTCATGGTTGGGGAGAATTTTGCCTCCCCCTATCTCCTTTTCTCAATGAGACAGGCAACTGCTCCCCTCCAGCATTCTTTAGATGTGATGTCACCTGGCCCCCAGTTCAATTACTCCTTGAGTCTCACTAGAAAGTTATTTCTCTTTTAAAATGCACTTATTGCGTGCCTAGTTTTTAATCCCTGTGTTTTTGTATTTGTACTCATAAATGAGCACTTCCCGTGCATGAAGGCACATTTGTTTGCATATTAGCATGTGTTTGCATGTACTAGTGAGGGTCAGGCTACACACAAAGGAGCTTTTTAAAGCCCATTGGTAAGCTGCCAGGTAATTAATGACAGTGCAAGAGACAACTAAACATGCACAGTCATTCGTTTGGTTTGTTTCCAGGCCTTAAACAACTAGTCCGCCAGCCTCTTAGGAGGCAATCTGCTTTTATAATGGTTAGCTCATTGCAGCCGAGGCCAAACATCTGTATCTGTATAAGTATTTGAGGGGTGAGGTCTGAAGGAAATGAAGCAAGGCGGTGACCTTCATGTGTCAGTGTGTAACTTCAAGGCACTTATGTTAGCATGTGTTCTTGCATTTAGGTCAGACAGAAAAGTGCATAGAGGACACAAGTGGCTATTAAAGATTAAAATAGAACAGCAAAGCAGCCATATCTATTGATGACCCACATCAGCTCTGATCCAGAGTTTTGATTTATTTTTAAAAGAAACTAGGCTTATGTAAACATCACTGGACTCCATAGTGATTTCATAGTGAATTCATCAATCAAATGTCTTTGATTAGATTACATCATTCACTTGCTTTAGCAGAATGTGACCTTCTGAAGAACTCATTTGAAGCCACTTTGGCTCTTTTCATGTCTCTGATTAGTGTTTATTGGATAATCACATCATGTGTCTCATGTTCATTACTCTGTTTTGGTGCTTAACAATTTGGGACTGTGCTTCTTGAGAAAGATATTTGTTTTTTAAGGGCTTATTTTAAAGCTATTTATTTATAACCAATTTATTGATAACCAAAAAATGCTGATATTAAAACTCCACATTGTTTTGTCTAGCAATCGTGTTTAAATGCTGCAGATGACTTTAGGCATTACAACATATAATGTACAGTATTAAACATTTTATATTCAATCTGAGATCTGCTAAAGATTATATTTAACAGTGTTATTAAATTATTAGTCTTTTTAAAGATGAATCATAAATGCTGCTTCTCTCTCTAACAGAGTGTTGAGCGAGATGAGCCCATTGAAGTGGATCCAGCACCAGTTTCCCAAGGCTTGGAGAATGGACACTTATCCTCAACAGGTATTACCCATAATTACTTCTCAAAACCACTCAAAACAAGTCGCAACACAAAGGAAACAAGCCACAATACAACGGAAACAAGCCGCAACACAACAAAATGAGTGCAAAACAACAGAAACAAGCCACAACACAACGAAAACAAGCCACAACACAACGATATTAGCAAAACACAATGGAAACAAGCCACAACACAAATGATATTAGCAAAACACAATGGAAACAAGCCACAACACAATGAAATTAGTCCTATGCGTTTTGTGGTGCCAATAAACATCATGGCATGTAATAGAAAATTTGAAAAGATTGTTGTTTAAATTTATTTCAGCATAAACACATCATTAGACAGGTAAAGTAAATGCAGGTGAAAATAATGTAGTTAATATAATTCAAACTCAACTAAAAAGTTGCATGGATATGTACTGTAACAGAACAGTCAATATACTTTAAGCAATCCCTACACCACAACCATAAAAGTTGATAACCACACAAAATATAGCATTAGAATTACTGTGAGAAAGATTTTTTCCAACTGATGAATGATCAAAATCCACACAACTTTAAAGAGATCGCACCTTTAATGTGGCAGAGAACAGAACTGCAGAGTGCACTTAAAATAAACATAACATTATCGTACACTGGTGTAAAAACTAAAATAGGTATTAGTATGAATGGCACATTATACTGTTTCAATTGAGACTAATTGACCACAATCCATCATCTCTCCAATCAGAAAACTCCACTATGCCTTTGAGGAGAATCTCACCGCCCAACGGTGTGTCACAGGAGCACTCAGCCCCTGTTTCGATGGCGATGCCTCACCTGCCAATCACAGCAACCACCAAAGTGGCTGATTCAGCAGTTATGAAAAGTCCTGAGTCACCTGGTAGCCCGATGCAAGCCACGCCGTCAACCATAACAGATTCACTGACAAACAGTCAGCCGGTCACCAGTAATAACCAGCCACTACTAGAGTCTCCTGTTCATGCAGGTATGACTATTACAACTTCACAAATTGAGGCTACAGATGAGTCTTCGTCTTTCTGCTGTCATCTCCTAAATGTGTGTGTTGGTCTTGTGGTTGCAGTTTCGTCTGTGAAAACATGGGCTCCGACTCCTGCCAGGACTATGGGCTCTCCACGGCTTAGTGGTAGGACAAATTCAACCATTCTCTGTGACTCATATATACAGCAGTGCTTTTATCATAAAGTCTGTCTCATTGTTTGTGTTGCTACATGTTTGGTCTTACAGAGAAAGCATCTTCGGCTCCAGCCAAGTCAGTGACTTACTCTGGGCTTTTCCCACACAGTACAGACAGGTGGGTCGAGTGTCTAAGTGCAAATAAAGGTTTCCACTGAGCAAGATAGTCTTGGTAACACTTTACAATGAGGTTGCATTTGTTATCAGTAGTACATTAGTTATCATAAACCGTGAACAAGCCATTTTTTGTATATCATTTATTTATCTTGGTTAATATTAATATCTATATACACTACCATTTAAAAATACTTTTATTCAGCAAAGATGCATCACATCAAAATGGACAGTAAAGATATGTATAATGTTACAAAAGCTTTTGAACTTTTATATTCATCAATGAATCCTGAAAAAAAACTATCACAGTTTTCACAAAAATATTGCGCAGCACAGTAATATGGAATGAGCATGCGACTCTGAAGACTAGAGTAATGGCTATTGAAAATTCAGCTTTGCCATCACAGGAATAAATTAATTACATTTTAAAATATATAAAAAAAATAGAAAACAGTTATTGTAATAATATTTCACAATATTACTGTTTTTACTGTTTTTTTTAATCAAATAAATGTAGGTTTGGTTAGCATAAGAGGCTTCTTTTAAAAACAGATTAATATATATATATATATATATATATTACAGATTCCAAACTTTTGAACAGTGTATGCTAAAGCATTTCTTAACACTTCAAGTTGTATAAAATAACATGATGTATTGAGAATAAACGTGAAATAACAATGGAGAGTAGTATATTTATAAATTAGCATTAACTTAGATTAATGCTGTAAAAAAATTGCTAATTTTTAGGTCATGATATATAATTATTTATTGTAAAGTGTTATCAGTATTGTATTTTTCTGTCCTATGTTTTTATTTGTAAAACATATTTTGTTTCCCTTTCTAAACTTTTTTTTAAGTAATGTAACATATTTAATTAAAAGCGATGCTGTCTACCACACATCTGTGGGCAAGTTACATATTTGTATTCATATATTTTTATCTGTATTTTTTATACAATTATTTTGATGGAAAATTTCAAAAACAGGTCTTTTTTTTTGGAACAACATGCACATTTAAGAAAATATATGAAGCCGGCTTTGACTTTGTTTTGAAGGGTATGGGAGCAAAACCTCAGTGCGCTGTGAAATATAATAGCTTCACTCTCTCCCATTAATCTGCAGAACATCGACATTCAAAACTTCTCATCCAGCTGGAGTGACGGCATGGCATTCTGTGCCCTGGTCCACTCTTTCTTCCCCACAGAGTTTGACTACAACGTCCTGTCCCCTGCCGACCGCAAACATAACTTTGAGCTGGCATTCAGCACTGCAGAGTAAGTCACTGGAATGGAGGCAATTCTGTTCAGCCTTTTCACAATCGCATTGAGATGTCAACACACTTCATGGTGCCTTAACCTCTTAAAGTTGAGTAGTTTGTCTTACTGTCATCCCATCAGACACTGAAAAATGTAGATGACCAAGAAGAAAAAATACACAATTAACAAGAAAAATTATATATTCACTGCTAAAAAATTAACACTTTTATTCAGCAAGGATGCATTAAATTGATCTAAAGTGGCATTTATAATGTTACAAAATATTTATATTTTAAATCAAATACATGTTTTCTTTTAGCATTGTTTTGACAAAATATTAAACAGCACAACTGTTTTCATAATTTTTTATAGTAAGAAATCAGCATATTAGAATGATTTCTAAAGGATCATGTGGCATGGGTGACTGTTGAAATTCTGCTTTGCCAGTGCAGGAATAAATTATATATATAGACAGAAAACTGAAAAATAATATTTCACAGTATTACTTTTTACTGTATTTTTGATCAAATATGTGCAGCCTTCATAAGCATAAAACTTTTTTCCCAAAAACATTAAAGAAATTTACTGACCCCAACATCAGTATATTTTTTCCATTGTGTTAAAGCAATATTCTGTCATTTTGTACTCAACCTCATATTATTTCAAACCCATAATGACTGTTCTTGTAAAAATCCCCTTTTACATTCTATAGAAAAATACAAATAAATAAAAGTTTGTAATGATATACGGGTGAGCAAATAACGACAGCATATTTATTTTCATTTAAAAGCTCTAATAAAGTATTAAAAGTCTTTAAATAGGAATAGACCGGACAGATGAGATGTGAACTTAGCGTGACCAGACCCAACAAGCTGAACAGAATGATTCCAAAATACAAGCTGGCACAAATCATCTGCAGTTGTGCTCCACATCACCTCACAGTACGGCACAGAAGATAAAGTTACTTAGTTTCCGATGCGTCTGAGTCTAGGGTGTCCGTAAAGCGCACTTTAAACCACTAACGCATGCCAACAAATCCCTGTTGAGCTCAAAGGAGCCTCCCCTTCCCCTCGAACGGCTACTCCGACCTGACAGCCCATCAGCATGACATCGTGCTCCTGCAACTCCTGTGTCCCAATTCACACATCCTGAAATATTCACATAGACCTAAAACTGCACTACCAACGTCATCTGAACATATGCATTACACTTATCATATTAACTTTAATAGTCAACGGACATGGAGAACGAATAAAAACAGCCATACACGTCCAGCCCTGTTAAATCTGCTTCTCTGTATTTCCAGGAAGAAGGCTGGCTGCGATAGGCTCATTGAAGTGGAGGACATGATGGTGATGGGAAGAAAGCCAGACCCCATGTGTGTCTTTACTTACGTCCAGTCACTATATAACCACTTGCGCAAGTTTGAGTGAGATCTTGGCCTCTTTAGCGCCAGCTGAACACTGCACTTTCCCCTGCTGGACAAAACTGAACTCTGACATAGTCACTATGGTATGGGGTTGCAAAATGTCTATGGGAACCCACACCATTTCAAGCATGATGCTTCTGCAGTTGCATTTTAGTCAAGAAAAGGTCATCGACTATTTATACAGTCCTTCGAGGCATGGCTTTTGTGTATGGCACGCTCTTTTTAGAATGGTGGCCTCTGATTTATTACTAAACAGCTTGAAGTTAAAGGAATAGTTCAGCCCAAAATGAAAATGCACTTATCCTTATAGGCCATCCATGATGTAGATGAGTTTGTTTCTTTGTTGGAAGTAGATTTGGAGAAATGTACTTCTCCAAATCACTTGCTCACCATTGGATCCTCTGCAGTGAATGGGTGCCGTCAGAAATTAGAGTTCAAACAGCTGATAAAAACACCACAATATTCCACAAGTAATTCACATGAATCCAGGCCATCAAATAACGTCTTATTCAATGAAAAGCTGCGTGTTTGTAAGAAACAAATCCATAATTAAAATGATTTTAACTTTAAACCGTTGCTTTCTGCTAAAATATGAGTCATCTGTCAAAATGTTGCTTTCTCCAGTGAAAGTCAGGTAAGAAATATGCATAGATTAAGCATCGTTTACAAGCGAAAGCGGTTCTAAACATATATGGATTTTGATGTGAGAGGACAACAGGGGATGGACCTTTTCACCGGAAGGAAGTATTATCATGGATTATGGATTTATATTTTGGCCATAAGTGATGAAGTCAAGTTAAAATGCCTTGACGGATTTGTTTATCACAAACATGCAGCTTTATGGTGTTACTATAGACTGGAGTCATGTGGACTACTTGTGGATTCTTGTGATGTTTTTATCAGCTGTCTGACGGCACCCATTCACTTCACAGGATCCATTGGTAAGCAAGTGATGTAATGATCAATTTCTCCAAATCTGTTCTGATGAAGAAACAAACTCAAGGGTCGGTATATTTTTGATTTTGGGGCGAACTACTATTTTAATTTCAGTGGATTATAGAGCCATTTTATAGACTTCGAAAATAGAGACAGAAATCTATTAGCGGATTTCATACTAATGAAAGATAGAAAGAAATAGAAATGTACAGAAAATAAGGTACAATATATCTAGTTTTCAAATAGACTGGCACATTCTTTTTATAACTATTTGTCTTTTTTTTCTAATTTTCAGTGGCATAAAAGCATCGTTTCGTATGCCACCCTGAGCTACACGTTTCTGGTTGTCTTTTCTACTGTGTTTCTGTAGCTTTGCCAAAGCTCAGACACACAGGTGCATGTGCAGGAAGTACTGTAAGCACTGGATCTGCATTATAACCGGAAATGCTATAAACCTGGTTAAACAAAGCTGGACTCTCAACAGTGAGCATCACCAGGGAGTGTGATATAATAAATGTTTTTCTTTTCTTTTGAATGCTTTTGAGTCAACTTAGTTTTTGAATGTTTTTTTTATTATTTTCTTGTAAAAAAAAAAAAGACACTTTTCCTTCTTGACATCTTGTGAGTCAGTAACAATCACAATAAACATCAAAGCACATACCATTTACAATCATGTTTCATAGTTATAAGTGAAACAAGGAATAACACTCCTGTAGAGGACATCCAAATAAATACGAACAAAGATAAACAAGACAACATGATCATAATGTACCGCCTAGTGTCTTGAGATCAAAGAAGTGGTTTTCAAAACCACTTAATTGATTAATTAATATTTCGATTAATTCACAACTGTCTGATTAATTCTCATTTTGGGCATTGCAGTGTAAATGATTCCTTTGTAAAAGCCTTTTGACTGAATATTAGATCAAAACGAATCTTTTTGATTTGGAGAAAAACAAAGCAAACAGAAAGCAGTACAGTGAAAAACATTAATGATGACACACAAAAAAAATGGAAATATTGCAATATTGGATCATTTTAGTTGGTATCAGGGCTCTCCAAGTTCTCCCTCCATAGTTCGGACCAGAACATAAAGCTCAGCAAGACCAACAACAGATGCTGCAATCACTGCAGCTATTACTCTCTGAAAGAAAATACATACAGAGACGTTAGAAATATGTGTTCAGTTCCAAAACTAACACTGTGCACTGATGGTGTGAATGCTGTGTGCACTTACCGCTGTAGTCTCAGTGAAGATATACTGGCTGCCCAGATATGAACAGGCAAATGCTGCAACTACAGTCACCAGGAAGTTGAATACAGTAACAACAACTGCCTTCACGGAACGCACTGCAGAACACAAATTACACGTAAGATGAACAAGACAGATAGGCATTAAAAATGAGAAGAGAAAAGGGAACATCCTGACCTTGTCGTCCAAAATCTGCTAAAGTTCCATGATGATTCATTTCCTGTTGGGCAAAATATAAATATACTGACATGATTTTCAACAACTATAGCGCATGTGTTTGATATAAAGACTGTAGAGGAGTGTTTACCTGTGGATTTACATTCCGTGTTATTCTCTTATATTCTTCATTGGCAAGTTTTGCTTTAATTTTTTCTAAGCGGGCCACCAACTGGGGGTTCTGTTGGGTGGAAATAAATACAATTATCCAGCTTAAAAAACTGTGAAAAATATCATTTCTCATATTAATATAAATACAAAGAGTAATGAAATATTCTCACTTACCCTTGGAGGTGCGATAACTTCTGGAAGATGAAGTGTGCTGTCCTCAAACAGTTCATGAAGATACACTGGATGCCCTACAATTACATCACACTCAGCTTGTAATGTGCAATAAGCATCAAAACGTTTATAGAATGAGCACGTTTCTTACCATTTTCTCGAAGAAGCTTGTGTAGTTTTCTCACAGTCTTGAATGGTATGATGGACTGATCTGTCAGAGCCTTCAATTCTTCCTTCAGCTCTTCTGACACGGCGGCGGAGGGTTCTTCCTCCAGCAAATCTCTCGCCTTCTCCCGAAATCTCTCTCCGATTTTAAACGAAGAAGCCATGATAATAAAGAAGCCTGCTAAAGTTCAGAACACCTTAACGTGCGTTTAGTAGTACTGTATATATATATATATATATATCTCAGGTTATGTAAACACTACTTAGAAATGTAGCGGAAAGCAAAAAATAACTTCCTCATTTAATGTATGAAATAGCTACAACTAGTCAAATTAGCGTCGCAAATTATAAAAATGAAAAATAGAAAATATTCCTAACAAAACTTAACCATATGTTGTTTCAAGTTAGTTATGTATTTTTTATCTTAATTTAAGCATGTTTCCTGTTTACAGCCCTACATAGCAGCTGATTTCTTCTTCAGTGTGTTTATAGGCCCGTTGCAAATCAACTGCACAATCGCACAGCGCCACCTAATGTCAAGGAACATATTCAGCCCTTTAGATTGAGGCGCAAGACAGATTTTTGTTCAAATGTTTTCTCTTAAATGCAGTTTTTAAAAGGATGCTTTAAAAACAAAGTCAATTATTTCTATAGGCTATTTGTTGAATAGATTAGCTTTTGATATATTTTAAGCTCTAGTTCAAGAATCAAATACAAGGGTTTGGATTTACTATATTTCCATTTGTTTATATAATGTTTGGCGAAAATAAAATACAATTAATAATTTAATACTCTTATGTTTTATTTTTGGTGACAAATAAAACTAAATAAAACATTTTCTAGACACAGAGAAAAGATGGAGTCGGGACTTATAAAAACAGTCAAATCCAGTGTCTCCTTACATGACCACAATGCCGAAATAAATGAAAGCATGTTCAGCAAATGTTTTTATTTTATTTTTTTATTTTTTTTATTGAATGCTTGAAAAACCAATAACAATTGTCATTATTGTCAAATCATAACAATACATTAACAGTCCAGGGTCGTTCAGTCTTTCAGTCCAGAGGAAGTGCCAAGTGCTTTAACAAAGCCATTGTTCTTAATGCTTTTAAGAGTGCAGAGAACTCAATAGAATAGAATAGAATGGAATAATAGAACAGAATCTTAATAAAGAGGTTTGCATTTAGAAAATTAGCATTTATGAATATGATATTAAGCTAACAGGAAAATAACGTTTATGAAACAAGTATCGCCTTTTTCACATTCATGAATACCAAAAATTACATAAGTAAAGTCAAAATTAGGATTCACATAACATTTGATAAAATCAAGAATGTTACACAAAAATTGCGTTGTATAAGAGCAATTCCAGAATCAATGTAAAGAGCTTTCAGGGTTTTCTAAACAGACAGAACAGTTGTAGCCTATTAATATCATTCTTAAGTCTTTTAAGAGAGCACTCAAATCTATGAATTCAACTTAAATTTAATTTCCACTTAGTGACAGGAGATTGGAAAAGAAAAACCTCTAGAAAATGTTCACCAAATGTACCACAAAAGGTTGGCCTATTTCATCTTCACAAATGTAAAGTTGTATGCCCAATTTTAGGATTTTTTTGTATTGATTTGAAATTATTTTATGAATCTCTCTACTCATCACTTAATAAGACAGCTGCTAAAACTACTTATTGATGGAAAAAATGTTGACTTTGATGTAAGGGTTACCTCCTGTGTTTTCTTTGAAGTTGACATTTTATGAGTACATTTTTCATTCATGTTATTTTTTATTTTGATTAATTTATGATTTTTTTTAATGTATTTTTTTTTTTAGATGTTTAACTTTTTATTTATTTGTTTTTTTTTCTGTTTATATTTCATTTTTATTACTCTTTATGTATTTATTGTTTCGTATTCTGCTTGTGTATGTATTTTATTGCTTTGTATCCCATGTGAATGTTATAAAAAATACAAATAAAAAAAGGAACAGAACGTTAGCATGTGTATTGTGTATGAATCTGCATCTGCAACGTTATTAAAGAAACTAGATATTATGCAAGCTAAAGCACTAAGATTGGTTCTAGGAGCAGTTAAGATGACACCAATTGCAGCTAAACAGGTGGAGTCCTCAGAAATGCCTCTTAAGAAGAAGAATTTAAGAAGAGAAAAACTAGCCATGGCATATTGGATTAATCTTCAGGGCCAAAGAGAGGATCATCCTGTAAGAGAAGTACTTAATGAAAGTTGGGAAACAGTAAATAAACCAGGTAAAGGATTTGCATGGAAAATTAAGAAATTGATCAATGAAACTGGAATAGAATCAAATAAATTTGCATCGGTAATAGTAACTCCTCCAGCACCTTGGTTATTAGAACAGCCTGAAGTTGACTTAAACGTACATAAAGAAATTAAGGGAATGGGGGAGGGGTTTACTTTAAAAGCGTATGTTAAAGAATATATAAAAAGTATGCATTATTCATTTCTCCAAATTTACACAGATGGATCAAAGAACATAGAAACTGGAAGGACAGGTGCTGCATTTTTCATTCCAGAATTTCAGGTTAGGAAGGCTGGAAGAATTACGGATGGTACTTCTCTGTATACAGCAAAGATGGTAGCTATCCTTATGACATTAGAGTGGGTATATGAAGTAAGACCGGATAAAGTAATAATATGCTCTGTACAGCATATAAAAGAGAAAGGGATGGACTTAGAGATGAATTACAATCCTTAGGAGTTAAAGAATTGTCATTAAGTAGTATTCTGAATGATGGTCCAAATGCAGGAAAACAAATAAGTGCAATCATGAGATTTCTTAAGAATTGTGGAATAATGAACAGAATTTAAGATTTAGGTGAGAAATGGTACATTCTCTTCACTCTCCATCACAGTAGGTGGCGGTATGCACCTATGAAGTTGGTTCGCAACCCACCATAAAACCAAAAGAAGAAGAAGAACGTTAGCATGACCCAGAGCCATAGAGAGAGAGAGAGAGTTGCGACAACTCCGTTCACGCCAATGGACCAGTTTTTTACAGCAATGGCGGATCGTGGAGCCGCTCAATAGTTCCCGGAAGTTAGCGCTCATACAGAAGATACCGCTGTGATTAACTTTTAAAAGGTAAGACATTTATTGAACAAAATTGTATATTATCAGCACATCTAATCAAATTACCCTGTGCATTAAAACAGATGATTATTAGATTATTCCTCACTTAATTGTTATTCATTCTCTTCATGCAGTTTCATCCATCGTTGTGTAATTAAGGCTTTTAAAAGTGATTTTGCTTTGAGTTATTTAATAGACTTGGATATATTGAAAAGGATGCAGATGGACCTAAGTGAGAATGAAAAGTTTGAAATAGACGAGCAGTTATCATTTCAGAATCATGCTAGGCTAAATTTCTAAAAAAAATTATTATATACCACTATATTATATATATATATATATATATATATATATATATCTCACAGTAAACCTGTACATTATTACTGTATTTTATACTTAAACGTCTTAGCTACTAAAGAAGCACTGTGTTGAAGGAACAGATGCCACAGGACTGCAATGTGATGGAGCATCACTTAACCATTTCTTCTGTTTTTCTCCTTCGCTGTCTTGCTTTCAGAACAAGAACCACCTAAAGACTCCCTGTAAAGAGACATCACCCTCACAATGAGTCTCTTCACTGGTTTTGGCAAGTCTTTCCCTGCTCTTTGTGAAAAAGTGCCAGTTCCCTAGTATGATTACATCACATTTTGTTGGTGTAATCTATAGATTGCTCCTGCTGACTATATCCAGCCTCTTACGAAGACTTCAGATGACCCAACACCTGTGAAGAGATGACGCCAACCCTTCAGAGGACTTCAGATGAAGCTGACTCTGAATAAACATACAAAACTGCTACATTTTCCTTGCATTGTAATCAACATGATCACATCACGTAACCATGGAAACATCTTACATTTTCCGTAGAGCTGCTTTGAAACAATGTGTATATTAAAAAGTGCTATACAAATAAATGTGAATTGAACAAAACTTAATGCATAATTTTTTTCCTCCTCTCCAGATCAGTGGGGTCAGGTAGATCAGTCCGCTATAGTTTGCTGTGCTGCATTATGAGTGCTCGTCACTCACAGAAAGGAGTGTGAATGTATGGCAGCACAGCAAACTATAGTGGAGACTGTTCAAGGACAACATGCTTTATAGTTTATTATAAATGTATAAATCGATTGCTGTAAATAAGTGCATAACAAAAGTCAACATACATAAAATATGATTAAATGTGTACAAATGTTTTAAGTTGTTTTAAATTGGAATATACTATAAATATATTTTTATATTAATAACTGAGGGGTGCACAAGAATCAAAAACATTAAAACAAGATTAGTTTTCACTTAATAAAATATCATTTATTTGGAATGAATTTTCTAAGACAACCAACTTAACATTTACCATGAGATTAGTAAAACGACAATGAACATTAAGATGTGATTGAACTTGACTAACATGCAAGTTGTAAGAACATATATACATAATTCTATTTATATAGAGGGGCTGAAGTTACCTTGGCAGAAGACCACGATGTCGTTTATATAACAAACACGGACTTTTACCATGGTAACTAAAGCCTAAAATATGTTAACAAGGCAGGTAAGGATAGCTGACCACATTAATCCTCAAATATTAGCGGATTTTATTTTTTTAAAATAACACTGATATAACTACATATATATACTACGTATACATTATTTTATATATAATGTAAATACATTATTTTATTGTCTACTAATTACCAAAAATCACAGTTCTGTCTCTCCAACTCAATGTATTTCAATTGCCCGCTATGAACTTCCTGGAACTATTTGAGGTCTACGTGAATCACGTGACGATCGAACATTTTGGACTTCCGTTGACGCAACGCTCTCTTTCCATGGCTCTGGCATGACCTATGTGTAGTATCGACGCTTTCCGGTCGCAATGCGTTATGGGAAATGGTGTGCCAGTTTGTAATGTCCAATATTGCAATAATAGGGTAAAAACTTAATTAAGTCTAATTTCAAACTCCTGCGTCTGAATATTCCTGAATTTCACGCGCTTTAAATGTGATTTTTGGGTTTAACATGTATGATATTGACTATGTCCGTGTGTTCATGTGCAGATAGCTAAAGGAAGATGGCAGCGTGTGCAATACGTCGGGGCTTATTGTCCACTGCTAGTAAATATAACCAGCACAAATGCACTCACAGAATACTGAGTGCAATAGACTTCAGCAGCGGATTACATCCGAAAAGAGCCCAGCCGTTGTGCTCAGCTTGCAGGCTGTCCAGTTTTCAACAGACGAGGTTCATGTCATCACGGTAAGAGCTAACGTTAGTAAAGCCAACGTCCTACCGTGTCCTCCTGTTACATAACTGTTGTAGGTATAGTTGCAGCAAACAATTTTGACAGCAGATACCTTTACGATGTGTCTGTGAAATGCATTCATGTTTATTAAGAATATAATATCAGCTATCATGTGTTTCATATTAGCTGTTGCTATAGTTTGAAGGATTCACATGCTTGCATACCTGCAATACTACTGCCATATTGTTTCAGTGCTCAACTCTGTAGTTATACAGTTCACTTTATTTATTTATTTTAAGTGTCTGGACGCCTGAATCTTGAATCAGATGTGTTGATGACACTATTTTTGAGTTGATTTTAAAATTCCATTGGAATAGGACCGGTACCAAAACACAAAATGAGGCCTACAAGAAGAACAAACCTCAGCCTTGCTTTCAAGCCCCCCAAAGCCATTCTTGATTACATAAATGACAGTCTGGGCCTGAGCCTGAGCCAACAGACAGTAAACAAGTCCTATTTTGTGGTCAGCATATGTCTGTCTCTTTAGTGCACCATGAAACTTTCAGGTTCGATGTGGTCTGTGTCCAGATCCTTTTTTCAGAATGTTGCGCAATATTCAACCTTGTTGACCACAAGTTGCTGGGATGTGTAATTCAGTGGTGTCATCCACTATATATATATAAAAATATTTTTTAAAGTATATGTTTCAAAATATATTTTCTACCAATATATTTTGGCCACTTTTTCATATATTTTTGAACAATGTTTTAAACATTTATATATGTTAAAAGACAA